ATAACAACCACAGCAACAACAATAACAAGTAATATTAATTGAGGGCTTAACCTGTGCCAGGCACCCTATTTAATCGTCACAGTGACTCTTTTCGGCTGGTACTGTTATTTGTAAAGGACACACTGATGACCATGCTGGACTTTCATCAGGGAGGCTGAGAAGTCGGATTGCACAACACAGCAACACAGGCCTCGCTGATGGTGTTTCAGCCGCCTGTTTCCCCTTTGTTAAGGATATTTGTGAGGATCCTTGAGTCAGACCTCAGAGTGACTGCTTTCCTCCAACAGCAGACAGTAACTCCACCTCAGAAATGAGCCCGTTTCAGTAATTCCTGGGAGGCCATTGCTGTAAGAAAGGCCATTCTTTAATGATATAAAAGTCTCACCCTTTCCCCCCCTCCCTAAACGTTTCTAATTTGAGCCCCTCTGGTCCCTGTGGAGCCTTTAAATGCTTCAAGTGCGAGCCTATTGCCAAAGCAAGCCTGTCTGACTGGAGAGGCAGCGCCCTGCACTGTTGCCGAATATTGAACAAACATCCGCGAAGCCTTGGCTCTCCCAGAAGCCCTTCGTCTGATGCCTTTGTTTTGTTTTCTGGAAGAGGGCAAGCAGTGCCATCACCTCCTGCCGAAAAGCCCTGGCTGCCCTCCCAACAAGGAGTTGTCACTTCAACTGAGGCTTTTTAAATTTTTTTTTGGTGGCAACAAAATAATGCCCAGCAGGAATTTGGGAGGAGAAAAAAGAGAGTTCACTTGGCAGGTTCTCAAATGAATGGGTTGTAGTGTCATTGGAACTGAATCGGGCTTGAAACCAGACATGATCCTATTTTGGACGCATTGTTCAGAGGGATGGGAAATGTGAACAGAGGATAAGTCTCTTCAAAAAATGCTCTTTATCCTTGGCCTGTTAAAGGCAGCCTGGTTTAACCTAACTCTCCCCTTTCCCCAATGGCAAGAGTCTAAATGAAAGCCTCGAGGAGGTCGGAACAACTAGACAAGATGAGCCCTTCATCCGTTGACATTTGGACTGGGAAAGCTTATTTTACCTTGGGTTGTATCTTGATTGTAATCGTGATTAGTTGTCATCCTTGTAATTCCCCAATCCTGGCTTTTAGATTCATTGATGCTTTGATAAGGTAGCATAGTGATTAGTGTATGTAAACATAGCGTATATTCCACAAACTTTTATTGAAAAAAAAATGTTTTTAAGCCTACTGTTTTCTTGAAATTGGGTAAGGCCGCTGTAGGAAACAGCAAAACTGATACTATCTTTGTCTTCATGGAGTTTATACTCTTGATACATTAATAGTTGATAACAGATCAGGATGCTATGAGAATCTGTCATGTGAAAATGGAACACACATTGATAGTGGGGGAAGTTTATGGAAGACTTTTCTGAAGAATTGGCACTTGAAATAAGTTCTGAAGGATGAGTGGAAGTTAGCCAAGAGAAGTTAGGGGCTGAGGGTGGGATGGAAGGAAGCATTGTGCAAGAGAAGAGCCTGTTCCCGGATGGAGAAAAAGATACAAGGTGTATACAAGGAACTTAAAAGTCATCATAGCTGAAGGCAGAAGAACTAGGTAGAGCAGGATAAGAGATTAGACTGGAGAAACAGTGTGTTGTCTAGATCCTATATTGTCTGTGCCTCACCTTTTGGCTTCTGATCTTTACTCTAAGTGTAAATAATGTCATGGAAGTTTAGGACTATAGGACTTGTCTTTTGAAAAGATAACTTTAGCCACAGGGTGGGGTTGGATCAGAAGCAATTAGCTTTCACAATTGTAATGGAATGGTTAATGGGCATCCCTGCTATAACTCTCATCTAAATCATAACTTAGCCATGGCATAACATTAGGAAAAGAATCTTATCAATAAATGTTCTTGGGACTTAGAGGTAAGTCCCTTTCTCTCTTTTGGTCTCCAGTTCCTCAAGTGTTTGGCAAAAAGAGTTGGACCCAATGATTTCCCTCTTTTTGCAAAATTAGCCCTGAAGTTTGGCTATTAATTCTATGCTGCTATTGTAGGTACAGTTTTCAGCCTCAGTTTTTGGCTTTTAACCCCCACTTACAGGAAAGATGGACTGAAATGGCTGAAGAATTATGAAGCAGAATAGCAAAAGTCTACAAATGGAAAATTGTTAAATGGATAATTATATCTTTAATCCAATGTCTATGAATTTTTTTTGATCAAGAGAATTTTTACTCCCAGCAACAGGTTACATTTCTTCCCAATTAAGTTATATGCACATGGCATGGTACAATGAGGGTTATACCCTCTGTGTTGAAATATGAAATGACAGTAGTTCAGGTGATGCATTGGTTATCAGAATTGCACAGTTATGTGCTGAGAAGATTACTAACTCACTGTGTGACCTTGGAAAGTAATTTTCCTTTTCTGGGATGCATTTTCTTCTTACTTAAAGTGGGAGGGTTTGTACTAGATAGTCATATTCAAAAATATGTTCTTTCAATTATTTGTGTGTGGGGAATCGAACCCAGGGACTTATGCACACTAAGCAAGAACCCTACCCCTGAACTACATCCCAAGCCCTCAAAATATATACATATATTAATCATATACACACACACACACACACACACACACACACACATACACACACATATATTATATTATATATGGAGAAAAGAGGCTCCACTTTTCCACTCTTGGAGATTCATGATACATGTGTATCAATAACCTATTTGCTTCCAAATTTTTACTTTTTAACTGATCCATCATATTGCCATATATTAATTGGGACTAGAGCAGCAGTTGCCAAACTTTTCCTGAAAAGGCTCAGACAGTACACATTTTAGCTTTGTGTGCCATAGAGAGTCTTTATTGTAACCACTCCATTCTGCCACTGTGGTCATACACAATACACTAATGAATGGGAATGGCTGTGTTCCAATAAAACTTTATTTACAAAAACAAATGTGGGATGAATTTCCCCATGGGCCATACTTTGTTGACCTGCAGACCACAGCGTGGGCTGATTCCTAGTATCCTTGTAGCTCTGACTCCCTCCTGATCTTCTCCCCAAATGACTATTCCCTTCTAAGCTTGAAGTCACCCTTGTCCAAAAGCTATTCCTCTGGCCTGCAGTTTCAAAAGTTATCATCATCTTCTTTTGACATGCCTGTGTATAAGGCTGTCTCCATCTCCCCAGCTGCTGGGCTGCCTTCTTCACAGCCTTGTTTTGTTTATCTTAGTAACTACCCTTCTTTAATCCCTCTAAAGGATTGGTTAGCTGGAATTTGCCTTGTCTTCCTCCCCTGGAGCCTTTGATCTGATGCTCATGAGCATTTGCTGACAGTCAAACAGAAAAGGTGGAGCCCAGATCCCAGGCTGGAGGGCCCAGAGAGTAATGAATGAAGGCTGCGTTTATTTGTATTTCTAATTGGAAAGCCCATTTCCAGATCAGCTGCATGTCACTGCAAGCTGAGAGCAGGAGCAGGAGAAAACTCATTTTACTTTCAGTTCTCAGTGCCCAGGACCTGTGCCCACTGAGATAAGGGTTTACCTTGATTTCACCAGGCTTGGTAGAAGCTGCTGTCTGAATTAAGCTCTGTATCTTAGTACAGGATCACTCTTTTTTGGCACTCAGATTGAGCATGGTACATCTTGGAGGACACCATTCATACAGTCTGTGATTTAAATGTAACCCTCTGGGTTATTCAGATCACTTTATATCTTCAAGCTTTTTTTATAGAACTTAGAAATCTTATATAGAAAGCTGGTATTAGAGAAATAAAAGCAGAATTTCTCTATTTGAAGCTGATATGAGGTTTCCAGCCCTGACTACTCAGTTTTCCATTTGCCCTATGGAAGCAGTTGCTCAGGTGCTTCCTTGAAATTCTTGAATTCCTAAGAATTTTAGAGGCATTAGAATAGAGTTATGAATATAGTTTTAGCCAATCAAAGTTTTATAAGATCCATCTTTAACTGAGTCTTAGGTACTTCAAGACTCGTGTTAGGCACTGAGGTGGCAGGAATGGGTGACATAACCCCTAGTCTCCAAGAGTTGATAATACCGTTGGAAAAGGCAGGAGAAAATGGGAAAGGAAAGTGAACTTAAAATAAGATCTCATAAGTAAAAATATTTGTTTAAAGAAGAGGGTCAGGGCAATGAGGAAAGTCTTCCCAAAGAGGGTAAGATTGGAATGGAGTGTAAATGGCTAGAAAAGATTTGTTGAGACAGAGAAAAGCAGGAGAGGCAAAGGCACAGAGATAGGAAATACTAGTTGTATAGGTCAAGAAAGACAAAGCAGAGCATGGAGCATATACAAATCGCATCTCAAGGTGCACATGAAGAAATGTGCAGGAAAAGAAGTTTGAACAAGGGAACAGGTAAGCACAGAAATAAAGGGGAAATGATGTCTGTTCCAAGCAGTACCACTTCCTATATCATCTGCCACTCACAACTGATTCCACTGGGGTCATTAAACCCATTTCACAGAATCAATGATGAGAATCTCCTGAATACTCAAGACACTTTTTCAAGGTTGAGGAGGCGTTATCAGGCAGAACTGGGATTTAAACTGAAATTGACTTGACCCAAAGCTTATGTTTCTTTCATTATATTGAGTTTCAAGGAAAATATGGAACTGGAGAAAAATTGTAAAGGAAGAGTATAGTTTGTGAAGGTTGACAGTAGACAGAAAGAAATTTCTGGTTGGGGAAAATATCTTTGAGTATTTGTATCTTTCAAATTGCTTGGAAAAACAACCCCAACCTACCAACTTTAAACATGGAAACATTGAGGGCTAGAGAGAGTAAAAGGATACCTGGTATGTACGTGGCAGGAGAAAGACACCATTCTGGTCTCTGAATGCTCAGGCCAGTGATCTTTTCAAGACATCATGCAAAAATCACTTTATCATCTTGTTTTTCATTTCCAATGAATACCAGCTCCTTAGGACATGTTCTTTGTGGGTTCAAGAATCTGGCCTTTTAAACAATACTAAATTCACCTCTACCTCTTCCTATTTTGTGCCTCTCCAGAGACCACAGAACTGGGCAGCAAGAAGGAGCTCAAGTCCATGCCCTTCATCACCTACCTTTCAGGTCTGCTGACGGCACAGATGCTGTCTGATGACCAGCTCATCTCAGGTGTGGAGATTCGCTGTGAGGAGAAAGGCCGCTGTCCTTCTACCTGCCACCTTTGCCGGAGGCCGGGCAAGGAGCAGCTGAGCCCCACACCAGTGCTGCTGGAAATCAACCACGTGGTCCCACTTTACACCCTCATTCAAGACAATGGCACAAAGGAGGTGAGCTCCCCTGGCCCAGCCACCAAGTCAAACCTGAGAAACCCTCCTACCTGTGGACTCTTTGTCCATGGGGATTGTCATCAACATCATCATCAACAACAGCATCATGGTGATTACCAGCATTTATTGATTCCTTATATTCTAAATCTTAGTGTTTCAGTACAACAGAGGTTTTTTATTTGTGCAGAGTCCTTAATAGGTATTTTTGATTGATGGGTGTCTTTACTCGGTTCAGGGACCCAATCCTTTCCATCTTGTGCTCTATCAAACCATTGTTTCCATGGTCACTGTAAAAGGAGAAAGGATATGGAGCACTTCTCATGAAAAGTTTAAATGGTCCAAGCCTGAAAGTAGCAAATGTCATTTCAACTCCAGTTCCATGGATCACAGCTCAGACATTGTCCACACCAATCTGCAAGAAGACAGAGAAATATATTCTGTGTGCCTAGAAGTAGACGTGGGTTTGGTGAAAACCTAGCAGTGTCTGCTTCGATTCTATATTTGGGTTATCTCATCTAATTTGCATCCCAGTTCTATGATTTACTTAAAAATATTGGGCATATTTGCATAAAATTTGCTCACATGTGGCCATCTTTTTAATTATAAAATGGAAGTTCTGTATGGCTAATCCTAATATGACGTCTATGTAATAACAGTTGAGGAAACCTTAAAGATGTTACGTGATTTACTCAAAGTTAGTTTGCTTCAGAGCTTCCATGCCTAACTATGAAATGGTATCTCTTCTTTTCCTCGTGTCTCTCACTTTTTATAGGGTTTATTAGGACTTTAAGGAATCACGTGAATTATTTGGCTCACTGGTTTGTAAACTTATATTCATGGGACATTTTCTATAGATGCAACATTCCAGAACTCCAATTAATAAAATCAGGAATAGTGATGGTTCTACTTCAGTAAGGAAAAGGAACATGGATAAGAGCATCTCTTACTTGGTTCTCATTCTTCCTTCTACAGCAGCTTCCAGAAAGAACGGGGCCTCAAAAAAAAAAAAAAAAAAAAAAAAAGTCAGTGTGGCAGATGATTGATTGTGTCCAATAGAACTCCATGAATTATGTGCCCCTTCCATAGCATCCCATAGGGCCAAGAGCTTGAGGGTGGCGGGAGGTCAGATAGAGCTTCAGAGAAGACAGAAATAGGATGGTAACAAGGATGTGGGGAAAGTGTCAGGTAGATGACCTAAGGAAGAACAAGGTCTGTGCGGAGACCCAAATCATTTCCCCATAATTAAGACCAAGAGATGTAGGAAGAATCAGGAATGAGGCCAGGGCAATTAGAAAAGATCTGATTATTTAGGATATTATAAAGCAGATCATGGAGTCTGGTCCCTGTTCTTAGAGCAATGAGATGATGAAGACCCATTATTAGAAGGAAGTTGATGGGATTAGAGTTGTGTGGCAGAAGGAGCCTCTATTAGAATCACCATTGGAGCAGTTAAATATAGTGTGGGTTATTTAGATTGAATACACTGTAGCAGCCAAAATTAATGAATGACAGTAACAACTGTCAATGTGAAATGAATAATCATAATGTTATGTGAATAAAATAAGTCCCAAAGATAGATTTTATATAGCAGAATCTGCTATATAAATAAGTTCCAAAGATAGATTTTATATAGCAGGATCTGCTTTTAAAAGTTAACCCACACATATACCAAATACACTACCTTTCAGGAATAAATGCACATACAATATAACCATTTTTAAAAGGGAAGCAAGGAACTGTGAACATAGGAAATGATAACCTTGAGTCAAGGGAGACAGTACAATGGCACAAGAGGGCATAGGTCACATGTAGGTAGTCAAGTTCCTAGCTGGCTTTTATGGTGGTCGATTTGTAGGAGTCTATTAAAGAGTTGAATGTTAAAACTAACTCACTTATTAGCTAACCAAGTGAATAAATTATGACCAACTAAGCATGACACAACAAGATGCTTGAGTCTGAACCAAGTATCATGAATAGTCTGGGTCTGTGCTTCAAAGGTCCCCACGGTATCAAAAACAACCTTACATCTCCAGCCTCTGGCTGCAGGGTGACAACAGGTTGTGGGAATGTAAGAGTGGACACAGGGATATCGGGAAGAGGGAGCCACAGCTTTCAGCAAATAACAAGGTGTTCTGGTTAGTGTATCAGTGAGGATGAGAAAAACAGCACATTGGTGGCTATGGATCAAGGACTTTGTGAATGATACATTGAATATTCCCATTCACTGCTCTGTGACTTTGTCCCCATGACTGCCTTTTTGGTCAAATTTTCCTTATCTGTAATGGAGTACAATACAAACAAAATCATGAGACTTTTGGAATGTGCCCTTGGCGCATGTGTGGCAGCAGGAAAAGTAGTGGTCCTTTTCCTTTTTGCTCAGGAATCAGAATTCCCTATGTCTGGAGTTCATGCCAGCTTCGCTTGGCATTGTTGAGATAGGTGTTCATTATTTTGGAAATCCAGTGCAGTATTTGTAGAATCTCAAGAGTGTGAAAACGGTCACTAGATGTCACTGTTCTCCTTGCAGGAGACCTGGAGAGCTGGAAGCTTTAGTCATTCATTCATTAATTCAGTATTTTTGGATATCCACTCTATGCCAACTACTGTGTTACGCTATGAAAAATGAACAGTATGACAGATAGACATGGTCTTCATTTTTATTGTGTTTGTAGTGCTGGGGATCAAACCCAGGGGCTTGTGGATGCTATGCAAATATTCTACCACTGAGCTACATCCACAACCCCTACATGGTCTTCAACTTCATGGAGTTGCCAGATTGGTGGAGCAGACAGATAGTCATGAGATAATCACACAAGTAAGTCATATAGTGCAAAATCATATTGTGCAAAATGACAAGGAGATGTTTAGGTCAATGGGTTGAAAGTGTGACAGAAGGCCTTGTTGACTGGGAAGCCTTCCCTGAGGAAGTGGCAGTTAAACTGGGTCCTTGTAGTCAAATGCATAAAATGAATGTGGAAGGCTGGTTTGGGGGAAGAAGGAAGAGCATGAGAACATCCCATGTAGAAAGGGAGACTTCTTTGCCATCTCTGCATGCTGAGGAAAGGGATTTGACCAGGAGTTGATGGGCCTGGGCTCTGATACTGAGTAATAACATGGTCTTGTGCAAGTCCCTTTCCCTTTCGGGACCTTTCTTTTGCTCTCTGAAGAACCAGATAGAAAAAGATTTTCCCTAAGTTTTCTACAAGAAACTTTGTAGAAAGTACAAGATTTAAAGCAAATCTTGTACGCTCTGTGCTACACTGGCTTGGATTGAAATCCTGCCTCAATCCCCTATTCACTGTGTACTGCTGAATGATATCTGCAAACCTCAATTTCTATGTATATAAAACATAATCTCATAATTCCTACTTCTCAGGAATCAAATGAGATAATGAGTGCACAGTGCCCAGCATGTAACAGACAAATATTATCTAAGATTAGATAAAAATAAATTTTACCTAAATTTGTACTTTCCTTTTTCTTTGCTTACCCTGGTACCTCCTCTTCTTGGTAGTACTTGATTACTTCATTGATGCTTAAAGTACTAGGAACATAATATTTTAAAGTAGGATCTGCATTTTGTGTGGAATAAACCATTGGTTGGCCCCAAAAGGAAGATTATAAGTAGAGCAATCTTAGGAGCATTTCCTACTTAATAAACATTTCTGGAACTCACACTATGGTTAAACATGCCACAGTTGGGGTTACACCCAAGTAAAAGGTTGTCCTTCTCCCACAGATCTTCCAATGCAGAATGGAAGTTTTATATGAGAGCCCTGACTCCTTGAGCTGTGCAAGGTACTAGGTAAACTCTTGAGGCCCATTTTGTAGCATGGTCAAGGAACAACAGAGAGGGATATGACTTGCCTGAAGTTTGTGAGATGCTTCTAGCCTGATTCTGGATGACAGCCAGGGTGTGCTCTGAATGGCCTTGGGAACAATTGGACACTAACTTCTTGGGTGGCTGGGGTCTCCTTGGGTACATTCCAGTGAACACATTGGAAAGGATGATGCCTTCTGCCTCAGCTGGAAAGGAGCCCTTAATTACCTTTTGTGCTGTGGTTTTGAACAAGCAAAGCAGGGGGAAAAAAAGTCTTTATGATGGAGAATTTGATTAATGTATAAATCTCCTCCTTCCACCTGTTAAATGCCCTTATACAGCCCAAAGCCACAGGACTTGGCTCAGCAAAACTAGTGCTTAAATGTACATGACTTTGTGTGGTTGTTAATTTTGCCTGTGGGTGAAGTAGTCTCCATACAGGGAAGACAAAGGAGAGTTCCAGTGAAGAGCCAGATAGCTCTCTGCCTTTTACTGTGGATGTGTCCTTTCTTTTACTTCTCTGCAAAGTGAGCTTTATAGTATCTATCCCTTTCCATTTCAGGTTTAGCAGTTTTCTGTATGAACTAGAGAATTAGAACACCAGGGATCTGAACTCAGCTCTGCCCTTGATTGTTATATGGTCTTGAATATACTTTCACTTTCTAGATCTGGTCTTTATTTCTTTATATGATGAGAAATAAGGCTAACTTCATCTAAGGTGGTCCCTTTGGCACTGTGAGAAGATCAGATCTAACTTATAAATGGAATATGAAAGAGTTATTTTGAGATTAAAAGAGGCACCCCATCACCTACAATTTATTCTCATCCAGAGATAATGCCTCCTTCTTATTTTACTTTTTTATTAGAGCATTATAGTTATATATGTAGCTTGGTTTATCCCAACAAAATCATGCGTGCTTGGAATCTGACCCAATCCATTTCAGTCCCCATTCCTACCTCCTCTTTTCACATCCCCCTCTGCCACCCACTCCATTGATCCTCCCCTTGCTCATCCATTTATCCATACTTGATTGGTGTTTCCACAAACACATAAAGGTGAAATTCCCTGTAGTATATTTATATATACACATAATGTGATTTTGTTTAATTCAGTCCACCTTTCCTTCCCTTTCCCATCCCTCCTTCCTTCCTCTCAATCACCTTCTTCTGCTCCACTGAT